CCCCTCTCTAGCTCACTCTCTCGCTCTCTCTATCTCTCCTCTCTCTCTTCCCACCGATTCCTCAATGGTCATCTCGTGAGTCTTTGCGCTCTTCGCAGGCCGGCGCGAGTGAGCATTGCATTGAGCCGAAGCGGGTCGCTCTGTCTGTATGTTGAACGGAGCGAGAATTAAGTTTCGATGTAAAGCTTTCGTGACTGCAGGGATTCATCTTCTTGGTTCTTTCGGTAAAGTCACGTAGAAGGGAAATAATAAAATAATAAAAATAAAACATCATAAAATAATTTATTAAGATGCGTTGACCATTTCGATTTAAAGCTTTCGTGACTGCAGGGATTCATCTTCTTGGTTCTTTCGGTAATGTCACGTAGAAGGGAAATAATAAAATAATAAAAATAAAACATCATAAAATAATTTATTAAGATGCGTTGACCATTTCGATTTAAAGCTTTCGTGACTGCAGGGATTCATCTTCTTGGTTCTTTCGGTAAAGTCACGTAGAATGGAAATAATAAAATAATAAAAATAAAACATCATAAAATAATTTATTAAGATGCGTTGACCATTTCGATTTAAAGCTTTCGTGACTGCAGGGATTTATCTTCTTGGTTCTTTCGGTAAAGTCACGTAGAATGGAAATAATAAAATAATAAAAAATAAAACATAATAAAATAATTCTCACGACGTTTTGGCCACAACGCAAGCAGCCGTCCTCAGGTGGAGAACAGGTCTGTCGAGAAGACACCTGAGGACGGCTGCTTGCGTTGTGGCCGAAACGTCGTGAGAATTATTTTATAATGTTTTATTTTTATTATTTTATTATTTCCATTCTACGCGACTTCACCGAAAGAACCAAGAAGAGGAGCGAGAGTTGTTTGTGTGTACGATGGAGGAGTTTGGTGGGAGACAGCCGGATGTGTTTTGAAATAAAAAGAAAAGTTGGTTTCTGTAAAAACTCTCCGTTTTATTTGACGGGGTCGAGATGCTGCCGTGGTTGTAATGATCAGCACACCGGGCTTGGAATCGAGAGGTCGTCGGTGAGGTCATATCTCCCGGCGCGGCAACCGAAATCAATGCGTAAATATCTGCGGACGTGACATTGCCACAGCGAGTCGATCAAAAGGTCCGCAAGTTGTGGGATAGATCGTGGGTGCTCCCATCTCTTCCAAGACGCCCGGTCAACGTGGAAGAGTTGGCCTCTGCAAGGGGCTGTCTAGGGCCTCCCTCTGGTGAAGGCGCCTTCCACTGGCAGGGGCGTGAGCGAGCATTTGCAGGGCTGTACCTTTCCCCCCACATCTATAAACCAGAGGTTGCAACCGGGTACCCGATACCCGTACCTTACCCGATACCCGGCTACCCGTACCCAGCCGGGTACTGGTACGGGTACCCGTTTGCGACCCTGGTGCGGCCGGGTACGGGTACGGGTAGACCGTGAGTCACTGGTGAGTAACTGTTTGTCACTCATTTCCCAACGTCTTGTCTCTTCTCACAATTCAAGGTCCTAGAATCAACCCACCCGCGCCTGCAACATGGCTTCATCCCAGAGGTCGGAATCACGTACCCGATACCCGTACCCTACCCGTACCCGGCCGGGTACGGGTACCCGTTTGCGACCCTGGTGCGGCCGGGTACGGGTAAGGAATCAAAACCCGTTTGCGACCTCTGCTATAAACGGACCACCGTGTATTATATGCACCGCGGATCGCTTCTGTACGCACACACGAGCGAGTGAAATTATTGGAGGTCGATTTTCATGCCCGGGGACATGTGACGCTGACTCTTGTCAGCAACCATGCAAGACACGGGCGGGGTTGGTGGGACACCCAGAGATCGTCGTGCGTTGGGAGCGGTCAGCGCGCAGCGAAGTCCAGAAAGCCGAGTTCGATTCCCACTCACGGCCACCAACACCAGCGACGATTATCTGAACCGGTCCTGGGCCTCCCCTAGGTCGACTCAGCCTCAAAATGAGTAACTGGTTTGGTGTGTAAACATCGCCACTGGGGAGACAAAAACGTTAGGGGCGTGGTGCTGGCCACTTACCCCCTAGTGTGCTCGCTCACAGTACTTGCCCCAACAGTTTGTTACAAGCTATACGGGGGATATTTGTCTTTGTATTTGTGACACCCACCTGCAGAGATAACATATGGCCTGTATGAGGCAGTGACATTAAGTAGTTTTTGTTAACCTAGTTGTGATGATCTGTTTCGTGTGCTCACATTGTATTAAGGCACACTGGTTTTCTCCCGCATGTAAGAATGTTTACTTCAGAAACGAACCATACGTGCTGAGCAGAGCCCTCTTCAAAAAGAGCCTCAGGAATTTCCTGGGGACATGATTAATCGTGTATTGCTTGCACCAATAGTGTTTTCAGGTCATCGCTTGGATCTCCCTGTGCAGAAGCTGAAGTCCATGGGCATGACTCTCAACGTCCCCTATCCACTGTTCACCTTGCAGCGTGGGTGGGTACACAAGTTTGTCGAATGGCAGGTAGCCTATGGTGGGGTGAAGCGTGGGCTACTCCCGTCTCTTTAAATATGTCTGGCCACCGTGGAAGAGTAGACCAAAATACCCGAGCTCCTTCTAGTGCGGTCTCTTTCACCAGCAGTAGCAGCAGCAAGAAATTGCAGGGCTGCACCTTTACCCATTCGCTGCATGAAGCAATACCTTGGTTAATGCCCTTACGAACACACCTATACTAATTACATACAAACTCAGCACGTCAATAACACGAGGAGCGGCCTCTCTAGGTGCTGTGACAAAGGGCCTTTGCCCGAAACGTCGCCTATTATATACATCTCCTTTGAAGGCCACAGTGAGTGTTCATGACGATTGTGTTGAGTTTTTTGTTGTTCTTGCTCGTAAACCACTTTTAATGCCAATATCATCACCGACATGACGTGGATACCATTACAGGACTGTTTGACATCCTGGGAATGTGCGAATGAGCGTCCGCAACTGTCCGCGATGATTTCTTACGGACGTCAAGCCAAGGAGGTGGACTTGAACGACGTGCCCTGCGATGGACCGGGTGACACAGGACTTATTAGTTATTGCCTTCAGTCGCGCCGCGTTTGCGTCGAATCAATTTGTTCTTATAACGCCACGTCGCAGATGTTCACGGTGGGGGGGGGGGGGGAGATTTTAAAATGTAGGAAATATACGGCTGCTTGTCTTGAGCTTTGTAAAAGGGGTAGGCGAATGCACTGACATTCCCCCCCCTCCCCCCTTCATGTCGTTCTGTATTGAAGTCAGGATTTGATGAGCACATTCAGCTCGAGATTTCGCTCGTGTATATAAAAAAAAGTATGTCGAATAATTTAGCAATGGTCATTTATTTGCGTAGCACGAGAGTAGTGGTCATCGTTGTGTGGTCGCTGGGACCACAGTGATCCGTGACGGTCCTCCAGGGGGCTCCGCGGGGCTGTGACGCAAACGCAGCTGGATCCGAATATAATGACGTTCACACCTTTTTGCTTGGGACATTCATATTTTGCTCATTATACTTAATTTAAAAAACGAAGTTAGGCAAACTACCCCGATTAAACTACCCTAACACTAAGATCTAAATGCCCTCTGTGGAAAGGTGGATAAAAAAAAAAACTTTCAGCTGTTAAAAAAAAACGTTTTATGTTTTAGTAATATGAATAATTTTGTAATCGTCATAGGTAGAGAGAAGCGAATGGGTGTTGTGACCAGGGTTCTGGGTGCTGGGTGGTCCGCGGAAATGTTTGCATCGGCTGAGCGGTCCGTGAGGCCTAAAACGTTTGAGAACCACCGCACTTCGAGACATAGAAAAAAAAAAGGCCGTGGGTAAACTCGTCTAGAGCGTGGGTGTGGGTAAGGGCATATCAGCGAATTAGGTATGGCCCCGGTGCAACGAATTTAATCAGAATATTTATTTCTACCAGAATCCGATGAGCTATAAACTTCTTTTTTTACGATAACTGGAGGCCCCCCCACCCCCCCCCCTCCATCGCCCCAATATCCGGGGACGCTTCTGGCCCCGTAGGTCCCGGTGCAGTTTCACCGCCTGCACACCCGATAGCTACGCCACTGGAACATCCTAAGAAGTCGTCGGCAACTGACAATTTTTACCGTCAGTTTTTACTGTCACTCTTACTGTCAACGAGTCTGGTGATTGTGCACTTAAATTTCGATTTAAAGCTTTCGTGACTGCAGGGATTCATCTTCTTGGTTCTTTCGGTAAAGTCACGTAGAAGGGAAATAATAAAATAATAAAAATAAAACAATAAAATAATTCTAACGACGTTTCGGCCACAACGCAAGCAGCCGTCCTCAGGTGAAGAGCAGGTCTGTCAGAACATTCAGACGCTGTCTTTCCTGACATACCTGTTCTTCACCTGAGGACGGCTGCTTGCGTTGTGGCCAGAACGTCGTGAGAATTATTTTATTATGTTTATTTTTTATTATTTTATTATTTCCCTTCTACGTGACTTTACCGAAAGAACCAAGAAGATTGTGCACTTGATTAGGCAATTATTTTGTGTGGGCACTAATTTGAAGTCTCCAGGTCAACGATAATTGCTGTGCTATCAAGAAGGGCTATTGCTCGAAACGTCACCTATTATAAATAGTTTTTCTTTTAAGGCCACACACACAGTACCATTGTCGAATGTTTAAAGTTCATGGTAACTGCTGATTGGCTATGGTACTCGTAAAGAAAAAAAATATCACTGATGTACAAAATGTCACGTTAATTATAATCAAGCACAAAATGTCAATAAAGGACACATGAACATATTTATATTGCCGATCACGATAATACTCAATGCCATCCTCACCATAAAAATCTACAGTTTTAATGAAGTTTGCAGTGCATTTAATGTGTTGTGTGTTTTTTTTCTTCTGCGAGCAAAGCCAAATGTAAGCATAATGTACATGTATTACAACCCTCTGTGATCGACCACGATGTTTGTGTTGTGAACTCAACAGGACTGGTACATACGCGACCTCTGTAGTGCAAGCAACATGACAAAGACTGCTTCGCATGTGACGTTTATACAATAGCCTTTACAAGTACAATGCTCATTTACGGCCAAACTTAACACGTATTCAGTCCACATTTCGGGTATCCTCCTCCTCCTCCGACACACACACACACATAGACAAAGGTCCCCCGAGTAGCATCTTAGACTGCTGGGGCAAGTGCTGTTAGCGAACACCTATGAAAGGCCAGTAGGACGCACGAGGGGTTGGGGGTGGTGGTGGTGGTGTAGTCAGAACCACGCCTGGCCGTCTTCGTCTCCCCAAACTGATGCTTTACACACTGCACACAGGTTGAGGCTGAGTCTGCCTAGGGGAGGGCGGCTTAGGACCGGTTCAGATATCAATCGCCACTGATGTTATCCGTGGCCGGGAAATCGAACTTAGATGGCCGGGGTTCGAAATGCAGTGCGCTAACCACTGCGCCACCGCTCTACCCCTGAGACACACACACACACACGGACACACACACACACGAAGTTATATGTATATATAGTACAAGCCGCAGTCACAGAATGGTCACGTGAAATGAACGATGGTCTATATGGAATATCTTGAGGCTGTCCAACTACCAGAGCGCGCTCGGGAATATTGCGCAACCCCCCGGGACAAGTTGATTAAAAATTTTGTTCTAAATTTTTTCCCATTTAATTTCAACGATTTGGTCGAGGCGCGCCTCTTTCCCGCTCTGCAGTCGCGACAACAACAACAACAAACAGCAAAGAAACAACAACAGACGAGAGAGAGAGAGAAAGAGAGAGCCTCCGCCACTATTTGCCGATATTCTCCATTATTTGGCGATTGGTGTGCGCTTGCTGCGCCAGTTGCTCAGCCTTGGCCATCTCGAGGACTTCTCGCAGCAGGTGAAAGGTCAAGTCCAGCGAGATGGGCGGCTCGTCCGACCTCTTCGCCGGACGCTCATCCGACTCGCCGCCCTCCACCGCCCCACCAGCGCCCAGGTTCGCCACCTCTCCCGCGGCGAGGACTTGGCCCACGCGCCGTAGAATCTCTCCCATCCGATGCTCGTTGTCGTCGTCGTCGGCCTTCGGAAGGACGCCGCCGGCCATCGTCTCGCGATGATACTTCATGCGACTGAGCAGGCGCAGCAGGTGGTCGTGCAGGGACAAGTAGGTCACCTGTGAGGTGTCGATGTGGCTCGGGCTCTCGCCCTGCTGAGACCTGGGCTCAAGCAACTCGAGGAGTCGCGCCGAGTCGCTCTCCGGGAGCCCCGGGGGCCACGGCTCCTGCAGGGAGCGGCCCGCCGCCTCCGGGGCGCGGATGAGCACGAGCAGAGAGGCCGCGGCGAGGACGAGAAGGCTGGTGGTTTTCATGGTCGCGGGCAGGTTCGAAGGAGCCTGGAGAGAAATTCAACGGCACGGAAGAGAGGGGAGAGAGAGGGAACATAGACAGAGTAAGGAGAGAGGGGGTGGAGAGAGGGGGGGTAGAGAGATAAGGAAGGTGTAAGAAGAAGGAGCAGAGCTTTAAATATTTCGTTAAATATTTTATTTCAACGGATGGGGGGGGGGGGGGCACATAAAGCAAAGCATAGAAAAAAAACGAAATGATGAACGAAGCAAACTTTCAACTACTCCGAGCATCTTCTTGTTTCCTCTGATCGTAAAAAAAGAGAGGAGAGAGAGATGAAGGACTGCGTGCAGAACGAGAGAGAGTGAGCGAGAGAGTGAGCGAGAGAGTGAGTGAGAGGTGGGGGTTTACATAAAGCAAAGTTTAAAAAAAAATAACGAAATGATGAACGAAGCAAAGTTTCAACAACACCGAGCATCTTCGTGTTTCCTCTGATCGTAAAAAAAGAGAGAGGAGAGAAAGATGAGAGAGAGAGAGGCGCGGGTGGATTTAGGTCTGCAACGCCAGGGGCGTGCAAATGACATCGCGACTGCGGGTTGACTGAGAGCGAAGCAGGAGAAGGAGGTCTTCACAATTGTGGATGTCGCCTGACGAAGCCGCTTGTTGTAATCACCAGCGAAACTTCGTACTCGGATTTAAAATGAGTTTAACGCGTAGGCTTTCGCAACCAATATTATTCATAGTAAAGGTGTTTGGGGTTAGATCGCGTAAGTATAAATGTTGCGTCGTAACCCTCCACCACCCGACACAGCCAGGAAGGTTTGTCACGTAAACAAAACGCGCCACTTAGTTTACGACTTCAGCCCACCGGTGTGTTGGAGAGTAAATCCACAACATTTACAATTTGAGTAGTACGACGTTTCGCTGGTAATAACATCCAGCATCATCGGGCAATTTGCCAGAACATTCTGCCCGACAAAACCTCACTGGCCGTGTCGGGTGGTGGAGGGTTTGACGATACATTCATACATTTGCCTTTCATTCCGGATATCGGTCCTGAAATCCTACGTGTTAAAAACTGGTTTTATCCACGTTGAACATCATCGCTTCATGCACGGAATGTTTTTATTTTTTATTTGAGAGAATGTTTAATTGGAGTGACGTTTGCGATTTTATCCGAATTACAGCCTCCCCGTCTTGCGCCGTGTTGGTTCACGGCGGTTCGTTTGATCATACTTCACCACGCTGGCATCAGTGCGGGCTGGTGAAGCTTGCGATGATATAACTGGCTTCATATTGAAGTGTAACATTACAGCAATGATAATATTATAGTTTGAAGTTGTTTTTTTGTTCACCGAAAACTTTGGGATCAAAAATCATTTAAACTCCCTCGCAGTCGAAACAACGCCATGCGATGTTTCCCTTTAACTTTGTACAATTATAAAGATCCCCCGTATGGCCTTAAACAGGCTGTTGGGGCAAGTGCGGTTAGGGAGCACCTATGAAGGCCGACGTGCCAGGCTGCCTTCGTCTTCCGAGTGAAGACGTTTACACAACGCACCACAGTTTTTCATTTGAGGCCGAATCTACTTAGGGGAGGCCCAGGACCGGTTCCAATATTCGCCACTGTTATACGCCGTTTGCGGGAATCGAACTTGGGCGGCCAGGTCGTAAATGCAGTGCGCAAACCACTGCTCTAACGCTCTCTCAGTGCATTCATTCACACGCACGTGTGCTAGTAACTCCGTCGCTTTTCTTCTAAACGCAACAAAGCATTCGCAAGGGGATTAAAGCTGCAAAGTTATATCCACGCCCCTTGAGGTTCGTTAATAGGCTATCACCAATTTTCACAGCAATCAACGCAACGGATCGTGACTCTTCACGCACACACGCGTGGATTGTTGGCATATGTTCACGTAAAACGTAACATTCACACACACACAAACACCGACCACACGTCACGAGGTGGAGGGTACACACACTCGTCGCTGAAAACCAAATTAAGCAATGTCGTACGATATGTACTTTAACCATTGCAGCATGTGTTAAAGTGCAAGTACGTATTTAGGAGCAAAACTTGGTCAAGCGTCTTTATATACACACTCTGCTTCTCTACGTGCTGTGAAGAAGGGCCGTTGGCCGAAACGTCGCCTCTTACATACTTTATTTTATATTCGGATCGCCCAATAAAGTTGTGGGCAAGTCCGTGCCATGAATCAAGCACACGCTTGAAAATACTGTATATGTTTCGGGTCGCCGACGCGGGAATAGACACGAACGGTTGGGTATAACTACCTCATTTGCCTGTCTCTTTCGCAATAGACGTCTCACCAAATTCCAAAAACCCCGAAGGTCGCTGTTGGTGAATTTACCAATCATGGAGCGGGTCAATGGGGGCTAAACTCGAAGCGCTGTCCAATTCAGCACCACCGTACGCGCTGTCCAATTCAGCACCACAATTCACGCTGTCCAATTCAGCACCCCCAACCACGCAATCCGCATCAAATTGATCGCGCGGGTTTCCTATCGGTATCGCGAGCCCTTTGCTCGGACTTTTTCTTTCGGGAGAGAGGAATGGGGGGGGGGGTTAGTTATGCATTCGTTTGATGTAACTTTTGCCAATGTATCCAGCTTCGTGAAGTCTATTATAATAATCTTCAACCCCCTCACCACCGCTATGACGTAGAAATGCCCTCATCCAGCAGTGGAGTGACACAAAAAAAGTACTGCACATGTCAATGTTGTAACGTTGTGTAATTAAGCCGCGGATGTTTCTTTAGTGTATTGCTTTGTGAAAAAACATCTCCCTTGAACCATACGTCAGGCCTCATTCGGCTCTCACCTGGTTTTATTTTAATGGCAACAGACGCATATAGGCTTGAGCCATGCTTTATTATCGCTCGGAGTTTCGTCAAGCACGCACAAGGTTGTGACTTCCTTATCCACACAATATTAAAGGCGGCGATCAATGTTGAAGTATGCCTCAATGAGAATGTAGAACAAAAGTAGGTGATGTGGTTAAGCACACATTATATTCTGTCCAAGCACGTTACCGTCATTATTCTCGATTCACATGGTGTTGCCTGGTTGTAACAAAAATGCACGCAATCCGCCACGATGTTCTATTCTGAAGGCACGAGTAATACAATTGCAAGTAACGCCTTCTCTCCAAACGTTGAAAACAAATATTGTAAAACCGTGCGACGCGATTAACTTTATAAAACCGCTCACCTCCTTCCTTTCCACGTTGTGAATGGTGGGTGGGTAGGGGGGGGAGAGAGTCGAAACTTGTCGTTTGATGGTCGCGATTTGTGAGCCCTCTTCCTTCACGCGAAATCGCGTCTCGGCAAGCTTGCAGCGTGGATTCAAAGAGCGCAAGGCGCGGGGAGGCGCGGGCACTTATACCAGGAGCAGCAGCAGCAGGGTACAGGGGACGGACGAGTGACGCCACCACCAACCACCACCAGCGCTTGTACGCACCCGTGACGGGCTCGCTTTTAAATCAAAGAATTCGTCATACATATTTCATTTGACCCCCCGGAGGAGTGGCATTTCCACACATTAGGGGAACACACACGCGCGCCTATTAACAAATAATAACTGTAACACCTGTTCGGTGATGCACAAGTTGTGAGTGGCAATATCTACACTGCATGCACAGCTGAACTACTCGGCTGTTTCATTTACAATCAAGTTTTGGGTGCGGCATTGCTTTGGAAGGAGTCAATGTTGCAATTGGATAAAGTTGATTTTTATTTTACAAACGTAGTCGTGGGGAAAATAAGTTTAAGAGCTGTCGTGTAAAGTACAAATGCTTCCTTGTTGGTGTGTTTGTGCAGCATTCACTGTGTGACGGATACTTAAGGTAAGACTTATCAAGATATTTCAGGAATTAGAACTCATCGTCGCTTTGATAACTGCCCCATTTGCTCTCGCATTATCAGCACGTGTGCAGTTTTATTTCTTAAATTGCCACAAGTGGGGGGAAGAAAATCACTGTTTACGAAAAACTTTGCATCTTCAATTTGGAACTGTTTGACTTATGATTTGCTGTAGGGATGCGTGTTCGGGTAAGCTAATAACCAGATATGAAAGATGCAATTAAAACACTGGACAGAAGACGATATATACAATTACGTGGCTATTAAAGCAACATTAGCGATGTAAGTGAAAAAGCATCAAAAATACAAAAATTGATGATCGAATTTGCACGAACCAAACAACAAGGTACAAATTAATTTCGCAGAATATTTGCAGCCCATGTTCACAGGTACATTTTGTTTTTGAAAGGGTAATTGACTTTAATCAATCCCCCCGCAATGAATAACGCCTGTTTTGTATGCTACACACATTCATTAACGCAGGGCACACTAATAACGCTGTTTGGCAATTACAGCTTCTGATTCGATGTTTACATGTGGAGCCGACATCTGTATAGGCCACAATTGCTTAAATGAGATCTCAGGTGAGTTCGAGCAAACTGCTGCAGTGATTAATTTAAACATGTTAAAGTTATCCCAAACAAAAAGTTTCGCATCATACAACACACTAACTGATTTCGTTCATATTTCTTCCAAAGTTAGTTTTTTTTTCAGTTTTGAACAAAAAAAAATTCCTATTATACATTTGTAAATTGTAAAAATATTTTTAACTTGGGAGGGGGGGTAACTCCGAAAATGTCATAGATATAATTATTATAATGAATACTATCATGAACATTATCAATGTAAAACGAGCATCATTTTTATACCGATAACATCCCCAGAAGTACCCAAACAACCATATACTAAATTGACAATATTTAGTTTTAGTTTACGATGAAATATTTCCTAGATAATTATCACGAGACACAAGACCAACGTGAATATTCACACGATAGCAACTTGTGAGACACTGGGGGGGGGGGAGGTAGAGAGACACGGGGGCCCTGTTTGCCATCGTAACGCAGCAGTATCTCTGGCGGGTTGACCTCACGATGAAAGAAGTTCGCTTTGCTAAACCCATTTTTTGCAAGGATCGGGTGAAGTGCACAGCATGGCAGACCAAGTAATAACTGTCAATAAAAAAAAACACATTAAAGAATGGGCACACAGTTTTGCCCTGTTGGGTTACCGTCAAGGTTCACGCTGAGTGGAGGAGAGGGATCAACGAAGAGACATTTGCAAGGGCACCCGCAAAATGATCGCTGTAGTGAAGGGAATACGGATGGCGGTGATGAACAATGCGTGGTTTTCTACCGTCAAAAAACGCATTGGAATTTTACGTGTAAATATTTTTGTAATACATAAAATTAGAATTCATCAATGGTACTTGTAATACATACATTAGTTCCTGAAGAGGGTTTAACTGTCAAAATGTAAATGCCTGCTCAATTGTTTCTATTAAAAAATAACCTTAATCGATTTACGTCAAGAAACCAAAATGTGTTCCCTCATTTAGCATGTCGGCTTTCGTGACCAATGCCACGATTCATAATTGTTTTGGGTCACATCGAGTATGTAACATGTGCGCGTGTTCGACACACATGCCACTTACGTGACCTAACCCAAGCATCAAATACAAACCCGTTCCTCCAATGTGTTCATAGTAACTGTAACACATTCAAATAAATTGCAGATTTAAAGGTTGTTCGTCCAAAAATGGGGTTAAATAGTTTCGTCTAATTTTATGACAAAATCCGAAAGTTATCATTTTTTTTATTGTCACATTTTAACACGCAGTACAACCCGAAAATTCGTCGCCGGAGCAAATGGACTAGGAAGAGAGCACGGTGGATAATGAAAGCGATGGCCGTCAGAATCGACCCAAAGAGCTTCTGAAATCGGGGGATGAAAAATGAATAAATTAAGCCGATGACAAGCAGTGACCACTCTCTACAGGGGAAACATCTCGTGTGTTTGCTAAGACGACCCTAAGGAAGGAGGAGGGTCTATTGAAGACATTTTAAGTGGCGCTCTGATGCATTCTGCAGCCGTTTGTTGAAGACGGTAAGCTCTGCTTATTGTGGAATATGCTAAGATGTATCGATAATACCTGGTTCAATCATGTACTAATTACAACCCTCGGGCAATCTACTGTCCTTGTCAGTCTCCTAGGCCAGGGGTAGTTTGGCCATAGTTCACCATTGTGTGGGTGGTTAGTGAAGGGGATTTGAATATCACTCGCCACCGATGTTAGCCATGGCTGGGAATTTAATTCAGGTAACCAGGTTCATAATGAACTGCATTACCACTCCCCAGTTTTCAATTAAGTGTCATTACTACTGCATTCAATTCAATTCATTGCATCAAATATCACTGATTCTTAGATATAAACACAAACCCTGTACACAGGAGGCTTCGTAAACAAGTTATTATTTATTTGCATTGCATCAAATGTCATCTGTTCATAGATTTAAATAAAGTCTCACAGTGGCTTAGTAAACAGCATTGCGAGTTACTTTCAAAGCATAGTTGAAACGCTGTTAATTTATGCAAGTCGTAAAAACAAAAGGCTATAGCAATGGAGGCACAATACATCTGTTTTCTTGGTTCTTTCGGTAAAGTCACGTAGAATGGATATAACAAAATAATAAAACTAAAGCATAAGAACATTTTTTTTTGTTATTCTATTGTTTTATTTGTATTATTGTATTATTTCCATTCTACGTGACTTTACCGAAAGAACCAATAAGATGAATCCCTGCAGTCACGAAAGCTTTAAATCGAAAAATATATCTGTCCTTAATGCTTGAAAACAGTCGTAACTTCGAGACTCCTCTTCGGTCAAGTGACCTGTGACATCTAAACTGAAGTGGCTGCTGAGCTGGCACTGCTGAGATCCTGAGAATGAATCCAGGGCGTTCTGCTGCCAATCTTCTCAAGCGTACTGAGTTGATGGTGACCCAATGCTTGCACACTTAAAGCCATTATATTCAATATGGTTTTGCATTCGATTTTTTTTTATTGCAGCTCAAATAAAACATTATATTTGGTTTTGAATTCGATTTTTATTTAATTGCAGCTCAAATAAAACATTATATTTGCTGGACCGTTATGTAACAATCTCACAGCAGAGCCTTTGGGAAAGTGAGGCCCCCCCCCCCTCTTACTGGGTAGATGTTGAAAAGGCCACCTGAAAGATTTTTCACGTCTTGTGAAAAACCCTTTTTGCGGCCAACTAGCTATCAGACTCATAGGGCCCACTGCTCCGCGAGATCTCCACACGGATTCTTCTTCTCGTGACATTTATTTGCAAACATTGTGGGTAAAAAAAAAAAAACCAAAATAATTATTCATAGAACAAAATCAATACCAACAATTGTAAGCATTTGTTTAAGGTGGGCTTTTCTGTACGTAACAACGTGGACGCATGCACATCAATTCCATTTTGGTTGGTGCAATCAGCATTATGGGATGAGCCACATTGACCCCTGGGCCTTGTTAGATTACGTTACGGAGTGGCGTCTTCATATGCAATATACCGCGAGTTGTAATGGCATTGCACAGGTCGTGAATTACTTTGTGATGACAAATGAAGCACAAGTGTTAAGAGGTAAGGCTTGAACCAGAGAAGACTTATTTCTTGTTGGATTTCCATGAAAGGTAGGCATTCCAAATGAGCGCCACGCACTGCACCACAGCAAGCCTGCAAACAACACAGAAAAAAAAACGCATTCGGCACCACTAAATAATTAGAAGCGGGGAGAGATTAATGTTTTAAACTACACTGGCCATCATAATAATATGGCAGTCACGGTACAAAGTGATGCATGTATTTTGTATTTGCCAGATGATTTCAGTTGTGACTAATGCACTCTTTCGTAATCGCCGTGAACTCTCCCACACCTCAATGAGGCCAACGACATCACAATTGATTTCTCTCAATCGTGTCGCCAGGTTGACGAGGTTTGATTCTTCGCGTACATTCCCGTACATTGTACGGAGCCATGGTCAAATACAGGCCGCATCCTCCTTTTTCTTTTACCCAGCGATCCTTGCCATACCTACTCGTACTCCCACCTTCCCACCATCATGTTCGATGAAATCAGTCGCAGGCGCCTGAGGCTCAACTATCGTTGCGGAGAGAGAGATAAGTGTTCATGCTTCACCACGATGGTCTCTCCAACAATCAGGCAAAGACCTTCAGATTTCAAGAGTACATCAGAGTTTCCCAGCCAACATTAAGGCCACGAGGGATGACTGCGAGAGGTGACAACAGCTTGGGGAAAACTTCATCCAGCAGTGGATAAATCACGGCTGATGGAAATAATTAACGCCCCGCAATATAATTCATTGAAATTGTCAAGAATGTTAATAATCGTGGTTTGATCTTCATACAAAAGCCACGATTGCCCTCCGGTTGTCAAGCTCACAACTCGGCCAAAAACTGAAAGATAAAACAATTAATAACGCGCACAATTTCCGGAAAAGGGAAGAACATCATTTCCCGTCCCGACCCTGGAGAGCCAGACTCAGGGTCCCTGCCCGTACGGCCGACGAAGCAATACGAGCCCGGGCCTTTCGACCGTCCTGGAAAAAAGGCGGTGTGGATTTGAAGCCGCTGCGGATGGGGATGGGGGTCGCGGGGGATGAGATCCCAAGCGTTTGGAGCAGCTACGGGGTAACGGCGGGATGGACTTGGTTCGTGGGACAGCGAGCGAGCCGTTGGGACGAGGTCCTTAGTGCCGTGGGGTTGACTGAGGCCCGCGTTTTGAGGACGGTCAGACAAAACTATTGAACGCTTTCAGCTAAAACTATTTTTCATAGTATAGGTTTTTGAGTTAGATCGCGTAAATATGAATCCATATTTAATATAAATATATATTTATTCATATTTGCGTGATCTAATAAAAAAACGATATTATGAATGACATTGGTCGCAAAAGCCTATGTGTTAAACTAAAACTATTTATTTTATTTTACCAGGTAAGGCCTACTGAGCTATAGAGCTATCTATTTGGTACTTGAACATCTTAACACCTTTCTTAGTGAGAAAGGGCAAAACATATTCTTATTTTTCATCAACTCTGTAGCTCTTTTTATCAGAAGTGAACTGGCCACGAATGATAGCTCAACGAAGTGGCTTATAGTGGGGAAATGTATATGGCAGGCACATTCTCTAAACGCACCTTTCTAAATATGGAGGGAAAAACTGGAGGACCCGGGGAAAAATCCACGTGGCCACGGGGAGAGAGACACGCAAACTCCAAATGTACAAGCGTCAGGGTCGCGACCGAACCCACAACCTCCTGTATACCAGGCAAGGTGTTTAACATCTGGCCACTGTGGCGAGATGTGGAAGATCATGTGGAAGGCCGTGGATGATGTTTATTAATATTCGAGTCAATGAATCCGGACTCGGCAATACCGACAGCAAAAGTCGTGCCAGTGTTGTTGGTGCATGCGTGTACGCGCGTGCTAGATGCGTTATCAATTTCTGTGCTTTGTTACAAACTTTTTTGTTACATGGCCAGAAGTGGGGGGGGGGGGGCTACAAAACACAAACTTTTACGATACGTCGCACGCATTCATCTGCAGCAATCCTCGGAGGTAGCAGAGAACCTATTAAACAGCTTCACTTGAGATTAAACAATCGATAGTCTGTGGTCTTACAACCAGATATCATCGATTGCGAGCTCCCCATAGACTGGCCATTGTAATGGATCAGCTCTATATATAGTCTTCAGGTGCTGGTGTCATTCTGCTGTGTGCATGTAATTTGCCTGGTCTGGGAAGGGGAGGGGGACGCTTTTGAAAAATCTCAATCTGTGGATTTTTCGGCGGCTACGGATGAGCAACTGCACACTGCGATGCTCACGGAGTTGGTAAGGTCAAGCCATGGACAATGTTCAATACCTCACCGGTGAGAACAAAGCTGTCCCATTCCCACACACTTATTAACGTGCACTGTCTGGAGTTCAGCCACTAAGTTCATGAGAATCTGATTAATGACTATTATTACGCGAATAACAATTTGGAATCATTTTTTTGTTGCAATTTGCAAATCCACTGCTGAACAAAAGCCTCCCCCCGTACTGCAGCTATCACGGCGTTATTTGACAATACTTCATTACGTTGGTCAGTGCGGGTTCAGAAAAGAGGACTGCCAAATCACCTGCCGCTGATGTCAGCTGTGGCTGGGAATTGAACCCAGGTTGCAGGGATGTTCGCTCGGTGCACTCAGCACTGCACCACTGTTTGTCTGCCCTCCTCTATTAATAATGTGCACAACTACGATGTTCGGCATTTTATTTAGTAGTTTTGGCTGTGGGTTTTATAAAAAATGTTGTGTGAAGCAAGTCTGCAACGCAACACCTGGACTCACATCACTGATGCACAAAGCAAATACTCAACATCAATGCACGCATAGTAGAACACAAGTTAATTCAGGCACCGTAATACATTTTCGTACATTTAAAAAGTCCAAATACATCTAAACCGATCATACAATCATTGTAAGTCCTAACATAATTCTGAACGATTTAGCGAGTAAATCTTGATTTGAAGCTTTCGTGACTGTAGGAATCCATACTCTTTGGTTCTTTCGCTAAAGACACGTAGGTAGCAAAAATAATAAATCACGACGTTTCGATCGCAACGCAAGCAATCGTGATCAGGCGGAAGAAAGATGACGATTGCTTGCGTTGCGATCCAAACGTCGTGATCTATTATTTTTTCTACCTACGTGACTTAACCAAAACAACCAAAGAGTATTTAGCGAGTCAATAGATTTTTTTTTATGTTAAGTTGTTTAAATAAAATTGCGGGAATTTCTTTCAAATGTGTGCGTGGTTACAAACCTGTGTTGTAACGGGATAAAGTAGAAGTTTGCTATTTGGACAGCTGGCCATATCTGTAACAAGATAGTAACAACGTTATTAGTACCATGATCATCAACAGCAACCATGATCGATCACTGCACGTATCGATGTCACAGAGGTCAACACTGCCCCTCAGAGTATCAAGAAAACGAAAGCTCCGGGAGCAGATTATATACCTTTTGAACATCTTCCAAACGGTGGGACAATTTGTAGGAACATAATTAGTGGAGCTATGTATTAAACGTAGACAGTTGCGAGATAACTAAATCATTGCAATGCAACATTGATCATTCGTGGAGGCCCGTAGCCGCACGTGTGGTGACCCACAGACTCAAGGAGACCCTTAGATTGATATAGCTGACCACGAGTTCACGATGTGGTTCATCACCGTTCCCGCACGTCGCAGTCACGTGTGGCAAGATTCCGTATATTGTCCATTTGTCAAGGAGATGACTGCGGCGAGGCGGATACCATGCGAGCCAGCAGCAGTTTCACTGCTTGCAGGGAGGTGGGTGGTGAGCTTCCGGATGGTTCGGTGGTGGTGGTGGTGATTGGATGTTCGGATGAGGGGCTTATTTAGGATGATGTTTGCATTCTCCCAACTGTTCTTCCATCGGCGTTCGATGCTGCCACTCCTAATAAGGGGATGTCTAGAGTCTTTTGGAGCACAGAGGTGGAATATGAATTTTTAAAAAAGTGATCGAGATGCATTTTGAAAATGTGATTTTAAATGCACGCAACTTGGAGGATAACTATTTTCGAAAGCAGGGCTCCTTTCAACTTACTCGTTCGGCATATCCAGAACCCTAAACGGCGAGTTGACGCGCCTTCATTTAGCCGTCTTATAACTTGCTCCCAAAACAGCAAACGAACCGAGAGGGCAACGATCGTCTCCCGTACACTCTGTACGTGCGCGCAGTAAGAATATACAGAATATGCCGATCCGGCACCGCGCGTCACGAAAGCCGCACGGGAAGCCGGCCCCCCGAGTATCTGGGGCGGGCAGGGGGGGGGGAGTTGCGGGGCCGTGCTCTCTCTCTCTCATCAGCGAGGCCACCCGCGCTGAACGCGGTAGCTCCGAGCCGGGGTCACTGCGACAGTGTGAAGCGCCAAGCTGCTCGCCCCGCTCAAACAAAAAACGCGCTCGTGACGTCACCGCCGCAACTCCCCGCTTGAGGTCAACGGCTCGCTTCTCGCCGCACCTCCCGATTGGCACGGTCGGCTACGAACGGCGCAAAAGAAGTTCAACATTCACACACGTGCACAGAATATGTTTACGATTGAAGAGCTGGTGGGATGAGGGCTTTCTCTCGCAAGGGATCACCAGCGGTGCACACGAAGGTTTGGTGCCCTCTTGTCGATTTGCTCCACACCTGACCGCTCCCCACCAATCTCTCCACGTCCTCCGGTGTTTCCCTCCACATTTAGAATCCACGTGCGTCGAGATTATTTGAGATGAATTTGCTGCTATAAACCTCCACGTGGTGATCGGTCACTTCATCGAGCTGTCACTTGTGGCCGGGTCGCTTGTGAAAAATAAGCTAATAGCTCAGTGGGCTTTGCCTGGTAAGACGGAAAGAGTTTAGTTATATTTTTAAAAGTGATTTGTTTACCTTCTTGATTCTTTCGGTAAAGTCACGTAGAAGGGAAGTAATAAAATAATAAAAATAAAACATAATAAAATAATTATATTATTTTTATTATTTTATTACTTCCCTTCTACGTGACTTTACCGAAAGAATCAAGATGATTTGTTTACCTTTATTCTACTTGGCATTTATCGTGTTTTTTTATTGATTGCTGTTATAACTCTCTGACCCGCCCCTATTGGACATCTGTAAAAGAAGAGCTTCGTAGCTCATCGGATTCCTCCAAGCTGAATAAAGATTCTCGATTCTGATTCTTGTCGCTCTTTTTCAACGGTTTTACTTAACTTGACCCCTATGTTTGTCGTGGTCAAATCTTGTAATCAAAAGTTAGTCTACTTCCTGTTGTGCAATCAATTCCAAATTCTGCACAAGTACTCAGATCCGGTGACACAATGCATGTCTGTATCAAAATCGGCATCAATTAATCAATGAATTCGCTACGGTCCCTAAACTCTCGAATCGCCACGCCCTAGAAGCAGGCGCCACGTGTCTCAGGCGCGCCTTGCTCCGTGTGAACGAGTTATGGGCACCCTCACTCCACATTCATTTATAAAGTCATCAATTAATTCAAGTAAGCGTTGATGTGGGAGCAGGCGCCGCATCATTGACGTACTTCTCGACTCGTGAGTTCAACGAAGTTGTGAATAAAACCGTTGTTTTTAACAAACTTTTTGAAAGGAGTTTTTATCTGTCCATCCTGCCTCTCTTCTGCCTCTCTCCCGCTCCCTAGGTCGGGTGACCGCTGGTTATCACAACGATCACACGTGGAGTTCACGTCGATCACTCGGAGGATCTATAACCCAGTTACTCGAGTTCGTTGCTGCGGTTGTTGTTGTTCTTGAAATTGGGGGAGGTAAATAAACAAAATAGCTGTGCATTTCTTATCAATTCTTTCCAACTCCACCCCGTCCATTGCTTTCAAGCGGCCTGGATGCGTGGCTCCGCATGTACATACTCACGTAGTAATTGGCCAGCAGTGCGTCTGGGTAATCCTGCAAGGGCGAGAGAGAGAGGAGAGAGAGCAGATGAAAAAACACGACTCAAAAACATCAACGCCGTGGCAAGCCCAGACAATTTGTATGTAAATTGCAAGGAAGCGCAAACAGGTTTTCCCCGATATTGATGATATGGAGATGAGCACATTGCAGGGTGCGTCCGGTAGCGAAAACCTGACGGTGGCTGGCACCGAGAGCCAATTTTATCTCGGCGATTTGACGTGAGACGGTTAATTAACGGTGCGAAACCGCGCCGAGATCACAGTCCTTTACGGGATTCTTTTTTATTGGCGGGAAAAAGTGTGACCGCGTGTAAAATTGAATTGCATTGGCAGCCGCGGAGAAAAGCCCAATTAGCATTTTTATAGTTAATTAGGAGACAACAAAGCCAACCAGGACCCGGCCGCCCGTCCCGGTGTGAATACTGAGAGCAGAGCGCCGTGCGGCTCTTCAGACGCCACTTCATTACTTACTCTACGGCGGAATTCGGTGGCACAAAATACATTTGAAAAAAGTTCAGAAAAAAAAATCACGTGCAAAACGTGCTTCTGAATGCAAATGAGTATAGACCCCGGCGAACGAGCACTAATTAGCGTCATGTAAACCCGTGACACTCTCATCCTCGCCTGGACATAGGTGACGCATTGAGGGTCACTCGTTTGTACATGCGGCAGAGGCTTTTAAACGCTATTTAGCAAGCAGGCTCGCCCACCCCCACTCAGCCACTTGTAAAACAAGTCGTTCAGATTTTTAGCCACACACTACCGCGGGCATCTTCAACTCCTACCGTGAGCATCTTCGACCCGTGCAGACGCACGCCGAGTAGCGGCGGTGCGAAAGCTCGAGAGAAGAAATCCTCATCCATAATATGGGGTTTTTTCTGGGTTAGATCGAGTAAATATAAATGTGTCTTGATTCAAAGCTTTCGTGACTGCAGGGATTCATATTCTTGGTTCTTTCGGTAAAGTCACGTAGAAGGGAAATAATAAAATAATAAAAATATCAAACAATTAAATTCTCACGACGTTTCGACTGCAAAACAAGCAATCATCGTCAGGTGTGAAATCCACAGCAAGAAAATGTGAAAAAATGTCTTTCTGTGGATTTCACACCTGATGATGATTGCTTGTGTTTCAGTCGAAACGCCGTGAGAATTGTTTTATATTTTTATTATTTTATTATTTCCCTTCTACGTGACTTTACCGAAAGAACCGAGAATATTAATGTGTCGTTAAACCCAACAAACAAGCCGCCGAACGCCGCACTTATTTTGCGCAACTTACTCCGACACGCCCATCGAGGGGTACTAGCCACGACGCTAGCGCTGCAGGAACGAGCTTGTGCAGTTTTGCTTATCCCGCCGCCGTCAAAGGGGTGCAAAGACTACGGTTGGTTTCCTCAGTGGTCCACAAGAGTACTTTGTCTTCTTGGTTCTTTCGGTAAAGTCGCGTAGAATGGAAACAATAAAAATAATAAAATAAAACATAATAAAATAATTCTCTCGACGTTTCGGCCACAATGCAAGCAGCCGTCCTCAGGTGAAGACCAGGTCTGTCGGGGAGTCTGACGATGCTGTCTCCCCGACAGACCTGGTCTTCACCTGATGACGGCTGCTTGCGTTGTGGCCGAAACGTCGTGAGAATTATTTTATTATGTTTTATTTTATTATTTTTATTGTTTCCATTCTACGTGACTTTACCGAAAGAACCAAGAAGATGAATCCCTGCAGTCACGAAAGCTTTAAATCGAAATTTAAGAGTACTTTGCTCGGCCACAATCGCACTAACTGTGCTTCTTGCACCATTGCATTCTGGGGACTGTCCCCCCACGTGAACACTCCACAAATCTGGCTGTCGCCTGATGATGCTCGTTGTAATCACTCGCGAAACATCGTACTCGAATTGTAGATGTTCTGGGTTTACTCTCGAACACACTGCTGTGCTGTACAAGTAACGATTTGGAATGTTTTGTTTAAGTCAAAAACCTTACTAAGTGGCTGTGTCGGGTGGTGGCGGGTTTTAACAACAACTTTATATTCACACGATCTAACCGAAAAAAAACAAAAAACTCTATTACGGATGATATTGGTCACGAAAGCCTATGTGTTAAACTGACTCACGTGGTATTTTGCACACTGCATTTTAAATGAGCCGTTGCATATATATACGAAGTACCTTAAGGCTAGCGCATCGGCAACTGCGGGTTTCAAGGGACCGCAAGGAATTATTTAAATGTTATTGCACGTTAACTGGGAGGAAAATGTTTTAAACATTTTGCGCTCACAGCCAAAATGGTTCATGACTTCAAAGACATATTTAAATTATTCTCAATTATTCCAAAACGTTCCAAGGGAATCTGTGCAAAATTATAAAAAAAATTTGACTAAACATCAGCTGACAATGCGTGACAAAACATTGACTTGAAATCGATGACTTGCAATCAATGAGAATCAATAGGAAGCTATTTAGAATCTTGCTGAACTCTGAATATCAGGGATAAGTCATGCACCTCAGCCAGAGGCGGGGGGGGGGGGGGAGAGAAAGACCTGACAGGTTTCAACGGATGTAGATTCAGCGAGGCCAGCCAAGAGGCACAAGAGGCAATCCACCGTTAAGCAAACTCGAGCAAAAACCCGGAGGGGTGGCGGTCAATACGGGAGTGGGGGTGGTCACACGTGCACATGTGGCAAAGGACGGAGATTAGAACATGAATAAGTAAGTCGCGTTCAAACGGTTAGGGTGACGCAAGCGATCAGGTTGGGGAAACTCGAGCAGCCCGCTAAAGGTTGAGGGTGCCTGTCAAAAGCTTGGGACAAGTGGAGAGATTCTTCAAGGCATCGACGGGGCATTGGGACCGTCACGTGCCTTTGCGTCTCGTTCGGTGGCGTTTCAATGCTGCAGCCTTGTTAGTGGAGGGTGGGGGCAAACAAGTTGGATAAGTGGCAATTTGCCCCAGGCTTCACACAATAGAGGGCCCCACAGCCAGGTCTCGTGTCACGAATTAATAAGGGGGGGGGGGGGGGTCCCTAAGTGGCATTCGGCCCCGGGCCTCCATCCCTGAGCCTCCGGGAAGCTCTGGGCACGCTCCGCTTGTCAGCGACTTCCTTACTTGGTTGGACACCATTAAGCCTGATAATGAATTCCCATAGATGGTAAGAAGCCTAAGGACCCCACGTTGGACAGGGAGAAGAATATTGAATGGAGCGGTTTCTGCCATAGGTCACCCTGCCACCGCGCCGTGATTGATGAAAGTGACGTGCGCCGTGCACGCGATGCGGTGTGGGCCGGAGAAAGGCGAGCGCGAGGCATCCGCGCAACGCATCTGTATACACGGCACAGTGGCAACAAATGAACCACAATGCCTTGCTGATCTCTCGTCAAGGAGCGTAAGTCATCGTCGCGTGAAACCCGGTCATCCTCGCAGCAGCTGCAGCTTTCGGCTAACCGTCGAACAAAGGTCATTTACCGCATCGCGCGATTTCAAGATGCGCTTCTGTGAACGTCTGGAACGCTCTTCATTCCGATATTAGGAAGCCACCGGAGTTATGCACTTTTAAATCTAGTTTGAAAACGAATTTCTTTAGAATTGCTTTTAGTGTTTTAGTTTGTTTCCCTTCCCACGCACCTCCGACTAGCACGGTCGGCTACGTATGGCGCGAAAGAAGTTCAGAATACACAGGTATACGTAACACTTGTGCCGACACACAGCAAGAAGGCCGAGTTTGATTCCCAGCTCAGGAACCCTTCTGTGTGTATGAGGCTCCGCATGGCTCTCCTATCGGTTCTACGTTTTTCCGCGCATAGCTAGAAAAAACATACAACGTACATACGTGTGCTGGACTTCTTTTGCGCCGTACGTAGCCAAACCGTGCTAGTGGAAGGTGCGGGGGAAGGGCGGCAAACTAAAAACGAAAAAGCAGTTCTAGAGAATTTATTTTTCAATCCTAACTGTAACATCCCAATGCTGAAAAATGACCTGCAAATTACTCAATTGGGATTACACATTGCAACATGAAATATTCCCAATCAGGGGGCAATCGTATTTAATGGGTTCAGAGGCGGCAATGAAAGCTGCGTTACACGCACGATCTTTTAAACTCTCAAATAATAGCGCCGGGGGTAAAACATTCGTGTTTCGTGTGGATAAGCATGTACCGATTATAATTATAGAAGTTAAATCAATGGTAGGGGTAAGGGGGTGTCGGGGGCAATGAGAGACGGTGGCGAGGCTAGCGCCGGTTCATTGCACATGCCGGCGTGTGTATCACAAACATGTGTAAAACAAAAATCCATAGAGTCGCCCAATAAATCATCATTAGCAGCAGCAGCAGAAGCATTTGCCTACCCGCCCCTGGGTGTAAATATGGTCGTGGCTGTGCTGTAAAGTTCTACGGTGTTGTACCACGTGATATTCAGCACGGTGTCCAACGTTTCGCTCCCAGCATGTGCAGCAAAGCCTCGGGCATGATTTTACTGTCCAGTGAACGCATTTAAAACATATGCAAAGAAAAACGCATACCTTTTTTTTAACCCTTCCAATACATTTTTCTTTCCACTTTTATTCCAATACACAGAAATTATTGGAAGAGATTTGGACACCTGGAGATGCGTGTGACTCGAGTGGTGTTTGTGAACTGCACTTGTGGAATGTGGGCACGAGAATGAATGGAGCCAGCCACGTGGCTTGGTGGTAGAGCGAAGCGGCTCGCAAAACACGAAGGTGGAAAGTACAAACCCTGGTTGGGGGTCTCACTCAACCCATCGTTCTCCCGAGGTGGACGAAGCGGGTGCCACTTTGTGGCGTCGGTCAACTGGGGTTGTCCCATGGACAGACTCGCCTCTAGCATAGGAATGGGGAATTTGCACCACTGGCTCAGGACCGTAAACGGGAGATGAGCATCGCCTCAATGATGAATTTGAGAGCAAGAAGTCTCCTCTTCTTGGTTCTTTCGTTGTGGCCGAAACGTCGTGAGAATTATTTTATTATGTTTTGTTTTT